TTTGTGTAAGGATCTCTTTTTTTTTCTTCCTTTTGCACCGAAGCCAGCGCACTCGTACACTCTCGAGCTACACCTGAACACCAGCACAAAATACAAAACAGACACACACACTCACACGCATACAGTATTCAAGCAGAGTCGTGCACTCAGACGAAATATGGAAAAGGTCTGGATACAACAGAAGAAATGAGCAATCTCCCTCTCATTTGTGACACAGCACCTCTCCGGGGATGTGCGAGGTAAAAGGTGAAGCCAGTAAGAATGAGGCAATCTCATCAGCAGAGAATCTCCCTTCCTTCTATTTCCATTAGAAGAGAAGAAGCAACTGCCAAAAAACAAAGAAAGAAAAAAAGCTAATAATTTTCTCACTTCTCTATTCTCCCTTTTATCTTCCATAGAGCGGCAGCAGGAGAGAGAAAATTTGAATCTTAATGAAGTGCACCGACTCTCCTCTTATGAATCTCCAGGAGACGGAGCGTGTGTTGGGTCTCAGGGTGAGGAGGGGGCTCAGGTGAAGCTACAGAGCAGGTGACTCATCACGGTCCTTGTGTCTTTCTCGTCCCCCTCCTAAAACTATTAGTGATCTTTGACACAGTCTTGAGTGTAGTCAATACTTTTATTATCATAATCCATTAGCATGATGGCTCATTATTGACAATTCAGCCAGCATCATAATTAGACTACGGTCAATGAAGTTCCCCTGCGAAATCATCGCCGGGCTCCATAAATCAGACTTTTATCCCTTTTTCTTCTTCCCATCTTCACCACTGCAATTGTCATCATCATCATCATCATCATCATCATCATGGTCTCCATTCACAGCAGTCCTTCCTTTTGTCCCGACATCACGTCCTCATCCTTGCGTCGCATCAGGCGCTTTCTTTGGGGCTGTTAGTGCCACGTCCACAGTCATTACCTCTCCTCTCCATTATCATCATTTTGAGGGTTTTTTTCTGCCAATATTTATGCATTTCCCCACTCCATCATACTCCAGTGAAATCCCCGCTACAGTCAACAGCACAGCATGTGCGCCAGCCTCCATGACAACAGCCCGGCTGTGATCAGCATCCTATAATCATCTCACATCTGTATTTTCCCCCATCGCAGCATCTTCGTCACACCGGTGCGACGCCATCGCTCTCGATGCCTTCTTAATCATCTTAATCATTTACGCCATTATTGTTGTTATAATCAGCCCTACGGCAGGAATAAAAAGCTGTAATTATTGTGACTATGAGGACTCAAAATCTAAACCCTCCCAGTATCCTCATACCTGTTCAGACATTGTGATTGCTAATGTAAGTACGTCAAAAGCTCATCATAATCACGCCACCAAAATCAAGTCTCTTTAAATATTCCTACCTCCACAGTCCTAGTCACTAAACTATTAGACCCAGTCACACCATGCAGTAGAATTAGCATATCATTATCTGCACAATACCCCGACTTTCACCCAATGACGGCTGGTGATAGGCATCACCTCTTCTCCCACAAACCCCCGCCGCCGTCACCACCGTACAAGGATAAGTGGGTAGAGACGGTGGATGTATGGATGGATTGTGAATAATATAGAGGCGCTACTCTACATGTTGGTGTCACTGTAATCAGTCCCATTAAATTAGTTTAGTCAACTTTTAATATACTGGGACTTTCTTGAAACCTAAACAGGAGGGAAAGCAATCAAAACGGAGCTAGAAATCCCAGAAGTTTAAACTAGAGGTGCACCGAATTATTGTATGGCTGATGTATGACGTCTTGAAATGTGCTTTTATTTTATCCTCTTCATCATCATCATCATTGTCTTCATCATCAACGTTGACATCAATATAATCAGGCTCCAAATGAAAACATCAGCTATGGCCATCATCATCGCTGTGATCTGCCTAATTTCCTTCATCACATTTCTAATCACCACCATTTTGTTCCCGGCTGTTTTCATTATCCTCATCAACGTCATCATCATCATCATCATAATCTTTGTGAGCACAATTAGCAACATCGTCGTGATGAACACTGATTCCATTTATGTAAATAAATAGAAAACATTTCAGTCTGCGCTCTGAGGCCTCAGGATGAAATTTTGACAGCTCAACGGAGAGGGAATTTTCATGCTTTGTAAAGTTATCACAGCACCGGTTCTTTTTTTTTTTTTGTTCTCTTCCTTCCTCGAATTCAAATCAAATGAGAGGGAAAATAAACTGTGGACCTTTTTTGTTGTTCCCTGGGCTGACTGACAGCATCAACTATCCAAAGTGCATCACAGAGAACGGATGTATATTAGCTCGAAATCCCTCATCTTTCCACCCCAGACCCTTAATTTATACGTTTACCGCGCTGGAGCTGAAAGTGAAGACAAATGCTCGACCTGAATTGGACGTTGCTGGCAGTAGTTATAATTAACATCCCTTTCACCTGGATGTTCATCATTACCGCAACCTTCGTCATAGACATCACCACCGCTTTCTGTCTGGAGGCATATAATATGAGTGGCTTATGCTCTCATATATATGGCCCTCTGAGTCGTGCTTTGCATTAGATCAGGATTATACCCGTGGTGAGGATTATTTCGTAGGATGGAAGGAATATTGCTTCTAAGCGAGGGGGGAAAAAAACAAACAAAACTAAAAAACCCAGATGGACAACTTGGAGAGTCGTATAAGAACGAGTTACTTAGCAGCCCCAGCATTAAAGTGCCGAAAGAGTCGTCAAAGTGTGGTGGCATCTGTTGGTTCTGCCCTATTATGTCCCATTAGCATACAGTAAAAAAAAACAACCACAAAAAAACAAAAAACACTTGGCTTTTTTATGAGGTCTTGCGATAAAGATTGCTGGGACATTCAAGGTGGAATGAACATCATAATATCTCTCTACTGCTTGAGATTTCTTTATGTTTTATTTTGAACTTTGACTTCCAGGTTTACCCTGTATTAAGACTTCATTAATCTCGCAGGCGACTCTGACCGGTTGCTCTCTGTTATTTCGAAAAACGGCTTTCTCTTTTTACCACCGAGACCAGATTTCTTAATTTCACAACCAGCAGATGTGATGTCAAAGAAATTCCACCAGCTGACTCGTGCAGCTCCTCCAGAGTTACCACGAACCTCTGCCACCTGATAACAAGATCCTGCTACCACCATCTTTGACACCATCAATTATGAAGGCAGTGAAAGCTAAACATATCAGATTAGAATGGATTTGTTGAGAAAAAGCGTGGAAACTATGTACGCGCAACCTATTCCAATAATGTAACACTTTATTTCAACCCTTTGCGAGTGAAATATGACCAAACAAATTGGAAAAGTTTAAATTTGACGGCCAATTTTGAAAGACACTGTAATTGCCGTCTCCTGGCTCTTTCTGGTAATTTACACTGGAAGTAGTTCCAAATCTCATCTCTCGTTTGTCCTCTTCTTCAGCGTTTTAAAAGTCAGTCGGGTACAGCCTTGGACACAGATGAAAAGCGGGTCTTGATTAGCACTCCAAAATATGTACAACGCAGGTGCACGGACACTCTGGGAAAACCCAGCCAACTGCCTGGTGACGATGTCATCTTGTCCGACAAGGAGAGAGATAACCTTGTTGTTCAGAAATACATGGCAAAAACATTTTTACAGGATGTAACTGGTAGCCAAATTGTTTCATAGGAGGAAAATAATAATTATTTTTTAAACGTGCCATTGCCAAACAGATCACCTTTTAAGTTCAATGTCACCTGCAACAATGCCAGGAGGACAACAGGGAGATCTCGTCTCTCCAACTTTCGAATGTGACTCGTGTTTGCCAGTTATGAATGTAAAATCTTATCTATAAAGCTTCACGCGCCAGAGGTCATCCCTAACACCTAATGGGGGACCTCGCAAAAAGCCAATGTTTCCTCGGTAAGCCCAGTCTCTCAAGACCAACCCACTGAGACAATCCAACCACTGAGACAATCCAACCACTGAGACAATCCAACCATGCGCTTCTTGTTGCTGTCAAACTATTCCTAAAGTTGTCTTTGGCTTTCTCGTTTTTAGGTCCTCAAATTTTCACGATATCTTTCTGAATCACTCCTCTCCATCCTTAATGCTTTGCTTTCTTCTTTTTTTGTTGTTGTCTTATCTCACAAAAAATATGTTGATTAAACTTTTTGATTTCATCCTTATCCTCATGCTGAATGTGGCCCCAATCCTTCAAGAAAATCTCTTCAGTTCTCTTTCTGTTTTTAGTAATTTTTTTCTTCTTTTTTATCTCTTTTTCTTGTCCCTCGTGGTCAGTCCCAGGCGCACCCAGACAGCGGTGTATGCTTTATTATCAGTCTCCAGCTGGTCCATAAGGAATGCAAGCTGCGGGTGTCCCATTAGAATACCGGGCAGACAGAACTGAAAGAGAAGAGTCCTATTCTTTTACCGGCTAACACAATCTGCCCGACCAGCCGGGACCTGAGGAAAAAGTATTAGAAGGGAGCGAAAACCAGAATGAGGCCGGAATAACAATGGCTATTGTTCACAGCATATTGAATGCAGTCATATTCTGGTCCAGTATCTCTCCACTAGTTTATTATTTTTTTATATATATATATATCCAGTCTGTTGGTGTCTTCCAAAATCAATGTATATCAAAAGAAAAGCCCCCTTGCCCTCTCTCTGCCTCGCTTTCTCTTGGTTTGAACAGAAACTCCTGCACAGCAAAAAGTCCAGTGTTAATTTAACTCCCACAGAGTTGATTTTAACACTTTTTCAGTGCTTATATAGTCCACTCTCATCAAGAGTTAAATTAACACTTTCAATATAGTTAAAATTTTAACACTTTATCAGAGTTACTTATTTAACTCACAAAACAGGGTGAATTTAACACTGTGGGATATACTGGATAACACTGATCCAGGAACAAAAATTTACCACTTTATTAGTGTTGATTTAACACTTTCAAGTGTTATTCATTCCAAAAAAGTTACTTTATGATTATGATTAATTATAATAATTAAGAAAAAAAAACTTGACACAAGTACATACATTTTGAACACTTTATTTTTGCAGCTGTGTTCCCAACATTTTAAATTGTGGTACAATGATCAAACATTCATTAGAAATGCCATAAGAGTTTTGAATATCAAAAGAAATTTAAGTTCAGGGATTTTTACTAAATGCCTTTCTTCACTTTGAACAATTTTGAAAGCATGATGATGATCAAATGTTTCCGCTTGGATACAGTTTTTGACACATAAAAACAGGTCAACATTTTTTAGCCTGACTTACTCACAAGAGAGCTCAACGGACTGGTTTAGCAGCCTTGCTCTCACGTCCCTAACTCTGGGCGATTCCTTCATTTTGCCCACGTCAATGTTATACACTGTTGTCTGCAGAAATGTGTAGAAATTCATCAATGCAGCATCATAAGAGAAATTAAACACAAAATGTGCTTTGAATAGCTCATCAAATGTTCCAAGAGAACTGTTTGTCTGGCATGGGATGAGGCACTTATCCATGACGATGTAGAAGCTGTCAATCTTGCTTTTCTGACGCCCAACAGCAAGGAGGTATGGCTGCAGACCCCATTGTCCCCGAAGATGCTCCTCCAAACTGCAGCATGACTAAAATTAAAAAGATATACACCAAACATTAGAAACAAAACATACAGCTTTACGATACATGTGACATAAGAATTAATTTAAGTATGCCCAGACATCTTCAAAGCTGTCATTCAAACATCTGTATTTATGCATGTCTATAAAAGGAAATAGACAAATAATTTTGCATATTTTAAATTTCAATTACCTTATGAATGACAACAAGTCTCTCATCTGCATCACTTGCACTGATTTTTGGAGACTTCTGTCCTCCTGGTTGCGGTGGAAGAAGATGTAAGAGAAGTAACAGCGAGGCCATTTCTTGGTCATAGCCTGAGGACAAATTTATAAAAGTTTTCAGCTATAATATCAGAACTTTATGAATACTCTGAATAGTCAACTATCTTCAGATATATCTAGGTACTTACTAGATGTGTTAGTGAGGTCATCGCTTTGAAGACTTTCCGCTGACTGCACCAAACTTCTCAACTCAGGTGGAGAAGTGAAACGCTTAGCCTCCTTGATGACATTTGGTTTGAAGAACACATCCCACTTCTGCAGCAGTCTGGATGAGGTTTCTTCACTGAATAGGAGACGGAAGTCTTGATCAATCTTTAATAGCATGTAGAAATCAAACCATTATAACAATGTAAAAATCCACATTTAAAGACTTCAGTTGAACACTTACCAATCCTTTTGTGTCCAGGAACCCCGGGAATGTGGTCAGGATATATCATTTCTTCCACTGGCATCTTTAATAAGCTTGTGACGGTGCTCAAAGTCTCTCTCATCTTCTGAAAGATCACGGACCTGTCTGTGGTGTGGTTAAGCAGAGATATGGCCTCCTGGCAGGCATTCCCATCAAGCTGTTTTTCAACAATCACAGTTCTCTGTATATTTGGGCCTCCAGATGAAATGTAATTGGTGCTACTTGATGTCACAAGAGATCCTCTTTGAATCTTCCTTAGGACCGTTTTAAGATGCCATGAAATGTATCCAGTGCTGCTTGCTGCATCATAAAAGTGCTCCTAAAAAAAAGAACAAAAATTAAATGCAAAATTACAGTTTTGAGTCACAAAATAAAAGAGCATGATTGATTGTAGAAAACAAACAAACAAAAAAAAAACATTACATTGCCTTTTTTGGTGTATGGATCCTTGAGGGATGCCTTTGTCACTATTCCAAAGGCATACTTCTCTCTGATTGCTTTTGTGGGGAGGTGCCTAACAGCAGATTTTAAATTGGTGATTAAACCTTTTTTTCAATTATTATACATAAATTAAATAGTGTAAAAACATACCCTTGTTCATCAATCACGTGAGCCACCAGTATGTTCACCATTTGTCTTCTTGTGGCATCAGTTAGGGTTTCTGTAGTTTCATACTCCTGCAGAATTTCTTCACCACCAGACTTGCTTTGTAGGACACCTTCAACCAGCTATAAAATGAACAATAAAAAAAGGAAATATGCAATATGCAGATGACCAAAATATGACAAAACATGTCTGGGCATACAAAACAGAATTTAGAGGCAGACAAAAAATATTGTTACATTTTTAGCAGACACTGAGTTATCAGGATTCTCAGTTTTTTGCTTCTTGCGTGGCATCTCATCCATTAGTATTGTTGATGTTGATGCATTTGAGTTGAAGCTTGAGTCAGAAGCAGATGACCATTCTGAGAACTCTGAAGAAAGAGACAATAGACATCAGTTACATTCTTTGGTAAAATCTATAAAACTGTTGATTTAATTTGCTTTGGTATCTCACCATCATAGCAGAAAACTGTCTGTACCACATTGCCTTGTCTAAGGAGGTCACTGAATATTTCTTCGTCAACTTCAGTATCTGTTGCATCTTTGTATGTAACTTCTGTATCAGGTGGCAGGCAAAATTGTTCAATGACTGAAAAAACAAGGCAAGATTTAGAGCCTAATTCTGTAATTAGCTGGATTTTTTTAAACTAACAGTTACTTGATATTGATCATGTGATTAGCATAAAACATATTAATGAAAATACAATTTTTACTTACCACAAATGTGTAAAATATGTGTTAAACAGACATACATTGAAAAGAATAATGCCCATGCCCCACAGAGGATGAATAAATAACAAACCTTTCTCATGAAACTGATTAAAGTCAAACAGCCCTTCGACTTCCTCCAACTTCACATACTTTTGCAGGTCACCAAACTTTACATGGATCAGCATTTTATTTAAGCATGGGATAAACCTAGACAAAGCAAAATAAGGTAAAGGTCAAGAGTTCACCTCACTGTAACGCTGCTATTGGTGTCACGTGACTTCGGCTCGTTGACGCTCCGCGGAAGCTAATAGTCGTTAGCTTACATTCACAAGGCCAAAATTATCATTTTAAACGGCAAAAACGTAGAAGTATATTTTTTACGAGTGTATGGTCCGACAAAATATGTTTTGTAAGAATTACCATTATAATAATATCAGGTGTAAGTGCTACTAGCTACCAGCTAACATGTTGTGTAAAACTGTTGCAAAATGGACATATTCAGCTGCTTTTTATTATGTGGTAATTAGTAGAAATAGTCAAATCACTCACTCTGTCAATGTAATAGTGCTGGACAAAATATTTAGTAAGTTGGACACTTACCGTGTAGAACAGGAGATGAAGAAAATGGAGCCGTGTTCAGATTGAAATCAAACTGAAGCAGAGGGGAGGAGCTTATTTATCTCCCAGCAGAGTTAATTCAACACCAACGCAATCAACTCTGCGAAATAACTCCAACACTGGGCATCATTTAAATCGCTAAATGTTAAAAATACACTTACTGAGTTAAAATTAACTCTGACACGTTTAACCCTGAAATTTTAACACTCCAGTTTTTGCTGTGTGGGATCTCCCTCGGGTCGTTTCGGAGCGCTTACATCACCGCCGTCGTCTCCATCATCGCCACGGCGATTATCATCAGCAAACCTCATTAGCGAAGGAGAGCAGCCGAAACAAGCATGCGCCGCGGCAATAACATCCCCGCGCGTTTGGCTCGCTCCGTCTCGGCTGCGGTAACAATCAAACGCCGAGGGAAGTTAAGTCAACATTATACGTCTCATCACAGATTCTTCACCGTGCAGGTGACATACTAAACAGATCAACTCCACTTCTGCTGGCAGATCAAAAGATTATATTTTTCTCGGCGAGCTCAGAAACTCTGAGGCAGGATAGAAAACCTGAAAAAAAAAAAAGCAGAGAGAGAGAGAGCTTCCATCCACACACACACATACACAGTCAGACTTTTCCAATGCATTTTCTGTGAGAAATGCATTGGAAAGGTCTGATTTCATTTGCCCTGAGGGGAAGATATTTAGCGGTAAACCTGCTTTGAAAATGAGATAATTTCTAAGACAAGTATTAGCATTCCAAGTCACAACCTTCACTCTGAAGTAAAATCTTTAATTCTGATGTTTGGGAAAGGTGGCACCACTTGAGGAATATATTTTTTGCTATTCCTTACATTACAGCTTGAGGATTTAATCGGAACTAAGATTAACCGGTGAATGAGTCATTGCCAAGGAATCGTTTTGTAGCAATTGCGCTTTGAATGTCAGAAAAAAAATACATACTTTTGAGTGACAGACCAACACAAACTAATATTTGTGCTTTGAAGGGGCATAGAGGGTGAATCATATGACTTTTATTTAAAAAAAAAGAAAGAAAATCTGCAAAATGGGATGTGATTCTTCTCAGGACTTTATAAATGAAGATCCAGTGCAGCAAACTGCAATCCTAAGTCACTTCTACCTGTGAGTAATTAAATCATAGTGGGAGACAAGCTGTTTTTGGTAGAGTACATTAGTGAAGAAGCAGCATCATGAAAACCAAAGAACAGAGCAGTAAGGAGGTCAAAAGAAGGGCTGGGATAAGGAGAAAGCATCAAAGGTGATAAAATCTCACTCAGTGCTATTGAATCCATCAAATGAAAATGGAAAAAAGTATGAAAGAACTGACCCAGTACCTAAAGCAACAGTACATGCCAGGAGAGCTTGTGGACCACAGCAACTATGGAGGAGCTTGAGAGATTCAGAGTGGGAGTTTTTAGTTGTGCGCTACGCAGATCTTAGGTTCTTCTGCGCGTGTAAGAAGATGTCACAAGAAGTCCTGTCAAGAGTTTGGCACAAGCCGTGCTAATGACACTGGGAAAATGTGAATGGAGGCGCTCTTGTCAGATGATCAGACCCAAAAAAAACAAAAAGTGCTTTTTGAAAATACTTTTTAGAGAGGTGAAATTACATGAACTTGAACACACCAGGGGCAGTAAAAGAGTCATGCTGTGGGAATACATTTGTTCAGCAGGTTCAGCAGGGTGTTAGGAAATGGATGGATAGATGGAATGGCAAACATTTGACAACTTTCAGAAATTTATCTGTTTAGAAAATACATATCAAACAAAAAAAAATAACCTTGTGTCACCTCTTCCTTTCACCGCACAAATATGCACCACTTTGCGTTTCGATATCCCCCTAAAATTCAAGTCGGGGAGCCCTAAACTTATAAATTTGTAACATGACAAAATTCCACAAGGTGGGAATATTTTTCGCAAGGCACCACGCATAAAAACCCCCAAAACAAAACAAAAAAAATATACACTAAGCGATTTCACATCTGAAAGTAATCAACAAAATGTTTCCACTCAGGCAGAAGCGCAACAAAATGAAACTGAGCAGTAATTAAACGCAACGCTCAGATGGCATAAAACCAGTAGTAAACAGGCCCTCCGCTCTGAGCATCTCCGCGCTGTGGGGAAAGCCAAGGTGCAATTAATCATCTAAACGACGTTGCTCACCAGCTTGAACGCTGAGCCCCGCCTGGCTCCAGAACACCTGAGTGAATGCGTTCATCGTTAACTCAGTTTAGGGTTTAACCAGGCTGAACAAGTACAGCACAGTGCTCTCGTCTTTACGTTGTTCGTGGCAGAAATTCAATATTTAACATTCAAATTAAGGTCAATAGTGTCTAAAATGCAGCTCTTGGGTTTTATGCGGTTGCTCTGAGTTTTCTGTGGTCTGACCTCGGCGGTGAACTTTTCAAAGGATCGCTCTTGGGAAGATTGGCAACGATATCCAGTGATTTCCACTTCTGAAACAATATTGAGAGAAATACAACCACATGGCTTCCCCTATGCACCTTCCATCTTCCACAAGCAACAAAAGTCACTGAAGGTCAACTATACTCTGGACAATTTGTAATGAATAAACATTTTTTATCCTTGGAAAAAAAAAAATTATGCATTTCCCATGACGGACCAGTAGGTGGTGTTAAAGTCGACTAACACTTGGTGGACAATACTATGTGAACAATTTAATGGGCATCAAGACACTGAAAGCACAAACAAGCCATTGCTCCAGCCATTACAAACTTCTATTTCTGTGACAGCCATATTGGATTTATGAACCAGGATGGATGAAGAATCTTTGACTTTCTTAGACAAAAACTTTGTTAATCCTGTGATATTAAATTATTGCCTGTTATTTGGAGACCATATGCGAAAGAGATCCCCATCTATGCATCGTCTCCACTATCGAACACGGCAGAAGCAGCACTGAGCTGTTGAAATACTCAGCAGGGAAGTTAATCATGTTTGGCAGGAAGATGCGTTGAGCTAATAACTAGATGACTCTGGAAGAAAATATGAAAAGTTCAAAAATACTTTTGCAAGGCCCTGTTAACATCACACTGAGTTAATTCCTTATTTTTTTTTTCTGAAATTATTAAATGTTATGTTCCCATCCACAGTTCCAGGACACATAACACTTAGCATTCACATGTGCAACGCTGCAGCGAGGTTCTTAGTGCTGTACACGAGGCCCTCAAAAGCTCTCGTAGGTCTTGTGTCGTTAATGAGAACTATTTTTGGTTTCTGAAAACCCTGCTCTGAGTTGTCAAGTCCGATTATCACCATTTATGGCGTTTTAACGTTCTCGAATGAACGAGTTCACAAAAACATCGTTAGGAAGCCGTAACCTCTGCCGAGAGTGCTGCCAGATTTGGTTTTCATTCAATATGCAAGATACCAAAAAAAATAAAATAAAAAAATCACAAATTGATGCTGAAATGTCTCACCGCCTGGACGGCGCATTAAAAGATACAAATCCGCAGACCTACTTCTCCACTCTCAGTGGCCCCCGCATATTAAGATGACCCCCTCCTGCCAATCAGCGCGTTGAAGGTGCCGGTGACTAAGATCCGCCAGACTAGAACTCGTTATGTAACCCTGTCTCTCCCTGCTGAGCTCGGAGAAATCATTTGCAAAGGTGGAAGCCTCGATGTTAATTACTCTAAGTATCAGTTTAGCTAGAGCCGAGGGGATATGGATACTGCATTAACTCTTGACACTGGCATCCTTCAACATAAACCGCAGCAGAGCCTTGTCATCTTAAGCAAACACGCGCACGGCCGTACGGATAAAGCCCAATGTGGGTCACGGCTGAAACATGTAACCTGATGTAGCGCTGTTCTGTGTGAGCCTGCCTGAGGCAATGTGGACATTTCAGGGTAATGCGAAGTTAGATGTAAAAAAAATATAAAATAAAAAATGGAGGGCCAGGAGGGAGAGGAGTCGTGATCCAAGACAGCGGGAGATGAGAGAGACCATAAAGATGAAAGCTGGATAGGCACAGAAGTAAAGAGAGGGAGGGGGGGAAATTAAAGAAAAATGGAGGTAAAGGAAGGTAGAGTGGGTAGTGGCGATTGAGGTGGCAGAAGATGGATTTAACCCAGGGGCAAGCTTGAGTCTGACAAACTGTCAGTAACTGAGCAGGAGAGAGAGGACACGTCTAAATGTAAATTGGATGCAAATCCTTGTGTTGTGTGGGTGTCTGGGTGTGTGTGTGGGCTGGCTGGTGGTGGAGTAATGACTGACTACACATCAGACGCCACCAGAATGCCTGCCTTAGCTGGTCTAAGTGTAGTTTCTTCAATGGGCTCAATGGGGGTGGGGGGGAGGAAATGCACAAAGCAACCTACAGTAAGAGCAGAAGAACTTTTCAGACTTTTTTAAAAAATAAATTCTAAAAAAAAAAAATGACATAACAGGTGCAGAAGTAATCCTGTACTTCTGCAGGAAGTGCAGGATTCTTCTGCAGGATTCCTGTACTATGATGTTCAAAGCTGAGTTCCAATGAATCTGAATCCGTAGAGTCGTGGCGACTATGCTAGACGCTGCTGATCGCTTGGCTAAGACAATCCCTACTGTGAAGCATGGTGGTGGCAACATCATGCTGCGAGCATGTTTTAAGCTAAGTATAGAAAGCTCTACCCATCTATGATACTCTCTAGATTTTCTGGGAAGTACTGAAGGACAGGACATGGAGGTGGGACTCAACCGATTCAGACATGAGTGGAAACTTTCTACATGCAGAAAAATAACTTCAACAAAAAAAAGCTGTGCTCGCCACATAAAACGCTTCCTCTTCAAAGGCTGCGTGGGTGCACGTGTTTGGGTGTATGCGTGTGAACATCTCCAAGGAGACGGATTGTGTCCTGTAGAAGGAAAGTGTCTTCCACCATCAGCGCTTCTCACTGACATGGAGTTCCTCAAAGACACGGAGAGACGAGGAGAGGAGGAGGAACAAAGGAGAAGGAAACGAAAGTCTTTTGAAGGATAAAACCCGGGTTTAGATAAGGTGCTCCTTCTGGACGGTTCGGCCCGTGTATTTGTGCGCCTGAGAGTGTGTGTTTGTGTGTGTGGATGAGAGCCTATTGCTCTGAGCACATTAGCTGCTTGGGGTGAACAAAGCCCCTCACCTGCAGGCTTTATAATACGGGCCCGGGAGCCAAACAAGGCATCCTCTATGTTTGTGTGCACCAGCTAGA